ACCATTCACTGAGTTGATCCCCTCAGCGTACAGATACTCCCAAAAACAGATATTACCAAAAACAGATACTCCCAAAAGATAAGACATTACACACATTTTGTTTCAACAGATAGCATACAAACCTTGTGAACAAGAAGTACACTTTTGCAGGTTTAAAAAGAATACAAATTACAGAAATAATTAGTCATTAGTATAATTTCAAACACTTCTCCATTGCATGTTAATTGCAATTAAATGAAAACTTATTATCGTTTAAATTTATATGAAATAAAATTAGCTGAACTTTAGAGTGTTTTTGGCTCTCTTATGTAGGACATAAGTGCATTTTTATATGTAATTTCATAATTACTTCTGTTGTCTTTGAAATATGTGACCCTGGACCACAAAACCAGTCATAAGGGTCAATGTATCATCTGAAAGCTGAATAAATACGTTTTCCATTGATGTATGGTTTGTTAGGATAGGACAATATTTGGCCGAGATACAACTATTTGAAAATCTGGAATCTGAGGGTGCAAAAAAATCAAAATATTAAGAAAATCACCTTTAAAAGTTGTCCAAATGAAGTTCTTAGCAATGCATATTACTAATCAAAAATTAAGTTTTAATATATTGACGGAAGGAAATGTACAAAATATCTTAATGGAACATGATCTTTACTTAATATCCTAATGATTTTTGGCATAAAAGAAAAATCAATCATTTTGACCCATACAATGTATTTTTGGCTATTGCTACAAATATACCCCAGCGACTTAAGACTGGTTTTGTGCTCCAGGGTCACATATGGTTAAAGTGCACTGCAGAATGCATTAACAAGCATTTCATGGTAAACTAAAATATACTTTAATGCCAACTTGAATGTCATGTATTTAAATGTAAGTGTAAGGACAAATGAAGTAGTAATTTAGTACATTTAAAATGTATTAACTTTAAGTGTAATACTGAAAAAAACATTTAACATTTAACAGTTGAAATTATAATCAAAGTTAAGTGTACTTTTTATATCACCACAAAATTATTAAAAGATAATACTTTAAACTTTTAATTCAATAGTATCACAAAGTGCACTTTTTCTTAAAGCGCTTCTTTTCACAAGTGTTTGTGGCATTCACGCGTGATACACATTCCTTGTGTTGTGTTTGTACTTATAGTTACGTGATCTTGGATTATTTGGTTCTTCGAAGCTCATCCCGGACTTGCTATAGCAACAGGTCCGTAAACTTAAACCTGCTCGGGAGCAGGCTTATTTCATGTAAACAGGATTAGATTGCATCTTTTTAAGCAGAATTGATACTTAAAATCTGTCCTCTACCACCGCTACTTTATTACAAGAGTACCCTACTAATCCAGGGACAATAATTTAAAAATAATAATCATTTAAAAATGAATTTAAAGATAATATAATAATGTTGTGTAGTCTTTAATACTATAGACACAGCCAGTTTTACTCACTGAAAGATTTATTCGTCATAAAATTATTACTTCATAATTGTATTCGAGTCTTGCACACATGCTGTACAGAAAATGTAGAGTCGTGCATTAATTTGAGCGATGACAGCTATTATGGGAGTGGCTTGGTGGAGCGCAGGAGATGCAGATAACATGATCTTGATATCATGGTATCAGGATCTTCAATCCTCCCCACTCGTCACACGTGGGTGGAGTGTGGGAGCGCATGATTGGAGTAGCACATCGCATGGTCTTGAACATGATAACATTTATCTACTGTATTATAACATTTATGTAGCTTGGCTGTTTCCTTATAAAAGTCCAAAATTTTGTCAAGCTTTTCATCAGGTGTCTTTTTTAATTATATGACGTCGTTACGTTGCTGTCTTGCCGCCAGCCAATCGCTGCATTGCTGATCGTGGTTTCGAGTATCGATACATAGCCCCTTTTAAACCAACCCATGAACGCGCAATTATCTCAGCTAACTCAATCCAGCCAAACTAATCATCAACAACAGGTGCGTTCGAAGAACCAAATTAGCCAGAACCTGATTAGCGCAATGATATCATCTCGGATGTGACATTTCATCTCGGGTGTAATAAGCGACGTACGAAGAACGGGCCCCTGGTTTTGTAGCCTCTCTGTAGTTTGGTTATTGATTGGTTACCCCTGGTTGTCTCCCCAAGTGTTCCCTGCCCTTGTCTGTATATATAGCCCTTGTGTTTCCTATGTTCTTGGTTCATGAGTTCTGTCCTCTAGTTCCTCGTACCCTGGTTCTTCTTTTGCTTCTTCATCAGTAAAAAGCTTTTGTGCTTTTCTAAATCACATGAGTTTTGAGAGAAGTGTGTAAAGCTTTTGGAAAAGCTGTTCTTTAATGGCTTCCCAGAGTGGAAAAAAGCATGATAGCCGTAACAGAACTTAGTGCTGCTGTGATATCTCTCAAATATAACAGCAACAGGAAGCAAAGCAAGAACAGGATTTCCTGTAACTGGTCCTCTGTCTCATGACTACTTTTTATTGTTACATATACTGCTGTAATATGAGTCCTGCGTGCTTTTTATCATGCTTCATGGGTCTACATGGAAAAGAATCACACTGCATTGGCTTTTAATTAAATTAAACATTGATGTAAAGATCCTCCTGTTTGTGTACAAAACGTCTTATGTCTTATTTTCACAGATCTACATAAATGAGTTTTGACATGTTTGTTTTTGTGTCCTGCTAAACATCTAGGCAATCTCAAAACAGCAGATGACCAAATGTTTCATGAGCATTTTTATAATGCTAATCAGCAATTCACCATTAATGTGTGTGTTTTACAGGTGTTTAAGTCCAGAGACCTTGAGAACGAACCGAAGACATATAGTTCTAGATGGTACGCTCAGGACTTTCTGGACGTGGGAGATCAAAATCTAGCTTGGCTCTTTGTTACATTTTAGATGTGTTTTTAGGGGACTCTCTTTTCAGGGTGATTATGATTTGTTAAATATGAGAGTCAAACCTACATATGTGTAAAATCTATCCTAGTAAGCTTTATTAATATTGTGTGTAAGATAGTTTTAACAGAGCATTTGTATGTTCCATGACACACTGTGATGGCTCTGACATTTTAATGTTTTTGTAGATATTTACTCACCCAATAATAATAATAATAAAAAAGTTATGAATACAGTACAAAATATAAAGCATGTTTGATTCATTTAATGCTCTTCAAGACTCAAGCCTGCTGTTTGGGTGGGGTTCGTGATTGTTGTTATTTGGAATTAATGTTTTGTGTCAATTGTGTTATCATAAATTATTACGTAATTTGGAACATATAATTAAAGAAATAGAAAATGTACTCACCCTCAGGCCATCCAAGATGTAGTTGAGTTTGTTACCTTATTTGGAACAGATTTGGAGAAATGTAGCTTTTTATATTAAGTTTGTTACTTACTTTAGCACTCAGCAATTCATCCTGGACAGTTGTGACAAGGGTTGTATTTAACCCAGTATTTTTTAGAGTGTAGGTGTATCAATATGATTTACAGACTCCTTTGCAATCATTTCTAGTTTAGTTGTGTAAACATGGTGTTTGATTTTATAATGCAGGGGTTTGCAAACAAATGGCGGAAATTCCATTACATTGTCTTGACTGAGAAATCTGAGGTCAACCAATGGCTGTATAAATACTTAGAAGAATATGAGGAAGTACTTGCAAAGAGAAACATTTTGATTTCAAGGAAGAGGATGGAGGCCATTTAATTTGAAATTGCATCCTCGGAGTTAGCATACAACTCTGGTTCAGTTTTTCTAAAACCAGTAGACAATTAGCATTTTACAGGCATACAGGTTCCCTCGAGAGTCTTGTTTGGATTTGTAGTTGGCTAAATTAAGGACTGTGGTTAACTTAAAAAGATTTCATTACACAAAATAATGTTATTTTTAGCAGCATCATATGACCCCTTTAAATAACACACAGTCCTATATAAGTATGAAAACGCCTAAGCAGCTGTGACATATAAAGACATGTATAATTTCTCAGGGGAATATGTGAGATATTATGTTGTAAGGATGTTTGATGGGTTTTTAAAAAAATAACTTACAGTTACTTCCCACATCTCTTCTTCGTGAATTTCTTAAGCATCATCCCACCACCTGCTGGCCTTTTCCTTGAGTGAGTGTTTGTTTGTCGAATTGCCCCCTCCAGTGGTTTTTTAGCATCCTTTTATCAAGGCAAATCTAAAGTATCTTGAGGAGGTAAAAAAGAAGCCTCGCGTTTTAGAGTGCAAGGAAATGTGGAATAAATACAAGATAAACATTGCATGTGAAACGTTACATTAAAGTTACACAAATGTGATTTAATCTGTAACTTAATATTATTAATAATTGAAATAACATATATAAAGAAGAAAGAATATAGTGACTGAACTTGGGTTTATCATAGCATAGGCATAGGCCTATCTGTCATAGGATGCAATCACTTAAATATATTCATAAAGATATTGACTTGAAAAGTACTTAATGTAATTGAATAAACTACCCGTAAATTATATTATTAAAGCAATATTTATTTATTTATTTATTTATTTATTTATTTAAACCATCACAGAAAAAAAGTTGCATCACTGAATTCATCAATGGAACATCTATGGTTAACAACAACAACAATAATAAAAACAAAACATAGACTTAACACTTAATGTATTGATATATGCTTGGTTAAAAACATTAAACAGAGCTGTATTGTGTTGCCTTTTTTTATCTTTTAGGTGAAATTTCATTGCACGAAAAGATGCATGTATTTCGCAACAAACTTGGAATATCGTAAGAAATTGGAAAATGTAAGTTTGAAAACAAGAACAGGATTTGCATAAGCCTTTTTGGCGTTTTATTGACTATTTAAATTAAAAAGTGTATTATTATACCTAAATTATATCTAAACCTTAATTATGTGTGTGTTTAAAATATTTGCCATTTAAGAACTCTTAATTTGAAGAGCTCGTGTACGAAAACACTTGCTGGCGGTGTCTCAATAGCGTTCGAACTGAATATACAGACAGCATTTTTCACACGCCCCTGTCATTTCTAAGTAGGAAGCTCACTCGCTTAGGCACGCAGTCTATGTACAGAATGTGACTTCTTCTTCTCATACTAGGGAGGCTTCACGTAGCGAGAGTGAAAATACGCAATGTCTGCTGTGCGCGTCAGTGGCTAGAGATGTGAATCCTGTAATAAGAGGAAAACTAAACACTGTGTGAGATAAACACCGTCGTTCATCTGCCTGTAGGTAAATACCAACTCATGAGCAGTTTTCAACACTTTTTACCAGTTATTTGTAACATTTAAATGAGATCAGGTAGTTGCCCAGCGGGGCTGTAATGTGAAACAGGAAGTAGCTTATATGTAATTTTCTTTAAGGAAGGTTGTTTATCGCTAATTTGCACCTACATAATAGGACAGTAAACACATTATTGATTTAGTAATAGTAATAGTTGGCCTTTGCCGACATGAGCAATCAGTTTTTGGAAATCTAAGACCACATCTTCTGAGACTTGCCAACCACGGCCATTACAGCAGTACAGCATGTTATATTAATAGTACGTTTATAGTGTGTCAGTTTCAGACTATTTGATGGACCCTCAAATAAGGTAACCTCATTGAGAGGGACTCCTTCCTACAATATAAGAACATCGATGTGTTTAAGGTATGCAATAGCATTAAGTTACTGTACAAAATATCATTATAGCCAACTAACAACCAGTGTTGGGAAGGTTACTTTGGAAATGTAATAGGTTACAGATTACAAGTTACCTTACTTAAAATGTAATAAGTAGTGTAACTTTTCAATTACTTTATTAAAGTAATGTAACTGATTACATTTGATTACTTTTTGATTACTTTTCTACATTTCTAATGTTTTCAACTGTTAACAATTATCAAACATGTAAACCATGCAGGGTAAACCTTACAGTGGTACTCAACACTGATTACTGTCACACTTTCGAAATCCTTCATCACTTGAATTTGAAGCACAGCCACCACAAAATCAGACTTACTTTGAGATCATTCTGAGGTTAAATACATATTTCAAATCATAACAAGAAATATTTTATTAGCTATGATACTGTTTTTAAATCAAATCTCTCCATAGCTATGACAGGAAACACTGGAATCTAACAATGCCTTGGAAAAAAATTATGAAGCATAGAATAAAATTAAAAATGAAGCATAGCTATATATAAACCCATATAGGAAATTAAAAAAATTATCGAATAAGCATGTTCTAAACTCCTGAAACATTGGTGTTTCATATTTTAGAGCAGTCACTGCAATTTATGAAAGAAATCAATTAAATCTGTATGTGGGAGTGTGTGTGAAAAAATCAGATGTAACCCCCTTTGTAATCCTTAACATTTTCATAAGTAACTGTAATTTAATTACACAATTTTTCTCAGTAACTGTAACTGATTACAATTACTTTTATTTTGTAATTAAATTACGTAATTCCGTTACATGTAACTAGTTACTCCCCAACACTGCTAACAACACTAGTAAGCTATAACTATTACAAAATACAACTTGTTGTTTGCAAAATTAAATAATTAGCTCTTTTATTGTCACTGTACTAAAACTTAAGCAAATGATTGAAATATTATGTGCAAAGTATCCACTTAAGTTTAATAATACGTAATACATTTACATTTAGTCATTTAGCAGATGCTTTTATCCAAAGCGACTTACAACTGATGACAATAGAAGCAATAGAAGTATTAGTAGTATTAAATATTAAGCTAGGAGTTTATCTGAGATGTTACAGCTATTGATGTTAGATCTATCATCAATCTGAAGAGAAACGTTTTCAGTTCAATGCCAATTTATTTGTGTATCATCACAATAAATATTTTTTCAAAGCAGTTGTATTGGAGGATATTACAGAAAACATTACAGAACTTGAAATAAATGTTTTTGTTTTTTCCCCATCAAACTATAAGCAGATTTTATTTGTATTTCTTATTAGCATTCCGAGGGCTGTTAAAAACCCTAGGAAAGAAATCTCTAACATGAATAAAATAAAGTAAATAATTAATCTCATGATTATCATGTCTTAGAATGTAGAATGAAATAGTAATACAACCAAATTTGGCAAATGTGTTGGAAAAAATGTTTAATGTAAAATATTATATTTTAATGTAAAATATTTAATGTTAAATATTTAATGTAAAATATTAAATATTTTAAATTATACAATGTCAGATATTTAATCATTGGTAGCATCTTGACATCACAAAATTGTATATTTTGTACAAAAAGTGCAAAAAATCTTTAACATTTTGCACGAATCCCATAGTATTGCCTTGTGTGTGTCATAGACACATTCTCTAGATATTGTTCTATAGAATAACTGTCAAGTATGGGGGTGTTTTCCAAAAAGGAGTGTTAACGTGCCGTCACATTAACCCTGAACTCCTGGTTAATCAGAGGCGTTACTAGGCCCCTTTTTGGAAGGGCTTCAGCCCTCCTAAAATTCTACCCAGCCCTTTGAATTATTTGTGATTAATTTGCCTCAGCCCCTTTAAAACTCATGTTGTGAAGATGGCAGGCAGCACTATTTTCAGATATTTCACTTCGACACCTTTCCCAGCTGAGTCTTTGTTATTCAACGCATTCTTCAATCGGCAGTGCCAACTACACAGAAGCAGATGACAAGATGTGTGCATTTATTAAGAGGCTGTCGTGACACCTGCATCTGTGCAGTACGTTGTTATGAATGCAGTTTACATAACCTAATGCAAGAGCAATGCAAAACTGTTTTCACTCTACAAAAAACATGCCTTTGCTTCATCAGGTAGCCTATTAGAATGCACACAGCATTCATATTCATATGTGGGCACTGTGTGTGAATTACATTTTAGACACAATATTGTATGTTTTTGCTCAATTTCACAAACAAAAATAGTTCCAACTAAGCCACAACAGAACTGTTGCACAACGCTGAGCAACACGTTATCGAATGAATCTGTATTTTTGAATAAATCAGGTGAGTCAGTGATTCAACGACACATTCGTGAAGACATTCACTTGCTTCGTTCCTGAATGAATCAGCTGCTAGAACAAATCGGTTGGTTGAATGACTCCCTCATTAAAACCTAGCGCCTATTTTTTGCCAATGTACCAGAAAAAAAACATGTTTGTGCATTTCTGTGTTCTGTTCATGTGTGTTTGTACCTTGTTTTTACATGGAAGAAGGAATTAATCTTGTATTTGGCTCAGTAATCACAAGTGATGTTACTCATCTTTCTATCTTTATTTTTATCATTGAAAGGTGAATGACTGAAATCCTAAAATCACCCCTGCAGTTGATTGACCCAAACTTTGTTTACTCTTGGTTATAGAAAACAAATTCAGGAGTTAACTGAGTCAACTCAGAGTTTGGAACTCAGGGTTCACAATGAAAACACACAGACAGAATGCCGAATCGCAGCGTCACCATGGAAACAGACATTTAGAAGAGGTGTGCCATAGCAAACCCGCTTTAAGGCAAGCCTCCAAGGTTAGCAAAAAAGCGCAATGCTGCGATGAGGGAAGGAGAACAGGCCGTTTTTTTTATTGATGTCAGTGGAGGAGACTCTGCACTACGCAAAAATGGCTTATCATTTAATGAATCAACAGCTTGTGGATAATCTTCAACATGTTTGCCATTAAATATTCTTTTTGATGTATCTATTTACACTGAAAAAAGCTGTTTTATGAGAGAAGTCAGGGACAATTTTGCGACAGGTAGAATTAGGTTTACGGCACTTCTCATTCATTTCTATGGTATTTGTAAACAGGGATTGACTGTCGTACATCTCGGACAGAAATTCAGTGACGTCAAGGCTGTAATGTGATTGGTTATCAAGGCACACATGATCCAAGTTGATGTTACCGTCTCTGGCCATAGTTCTTTCTTCTTTTGTTTAATGGCAATTTACAGTCTTATTGCATATCGCCACCTACTGCTACAGTTGTGCAATTATTTCATTTTAAAGACAACATGAAATCAAAATGGACAATTCTAGTTTTTTTTATATGGAGTATTGCGACATTTAGGCCTAATCTCTAGTTTTTTTTGTTTTGTTTTTCATGTGCCCTCAAAATCTTCGATCAAAAACATCTCCCTCTTGCAAAACAACACTTATTCTCCATAATCCCTTTCTTAAAAGAAACGTTGCAGATCGCAGCTAAACAACAATTATCCAACAAACCAATCAATTAATTGTTTTTCATGTGCCCTCAAAATCTTCGATCAAAAACATCTCCCTCTTGCAAAACAACACTTATTCTCCATAATCCCTTTCTTAAAAGCAACGTTGCAGATCGCAGCTAAACAACAATTATCCAACAAACCAATCAATTACCGACAAAATGAAGTCCCACCCTACATTTTTTCTCACTTGAGAAGTCCTTTCAAGTCGTTAAGGCAGTCGTGGCCTAATATATAGAGAGTCGGACTTGTAACCCGAAGCTCGCGGATTAATAACGAGCGCTCTCTTCCACCTTCAATACCACGACTGAGGTGAGACCCTTGAGCAAGGCACTGAACCCCCAACACAGCAATATGGCTGCCCACTGCTCCGGGTGTGTGTTCACGGTGTGTGTGTGTGTGTGTTCACTGCTGTGTGTGTGCACTTGGATGGGTTAAATGCAGAGCACTAATTCCGAGTATGGGTCACCATACTTGGCCACACGTCACTTCACTTCAGTCAGACATATGTCACTATAGGGAAGAAAAGTCGATTACAGTTTTTGTGTCATGTTAACTTTATTGCTCTATTTTGCCAACAAAAATAGTTCCAAACAAATTCGTATTGTTGTGCATTTCCCAGTAACACACACCTGTGGTTCGCTACTGAATGAATGAGCTACTTTGAACGAATCGGCTGAATAAATCAATCTGTGACTCACTCATTAATTGATTTGCTGCCACCTACGGGTGGTTTTAGTTTCATATTTAAAAGTAGCATTTTGTTTTTCCGTTATATTTCTATATTTAAAATGTTATGTTTTGTTGAATAAAGATAAGTTAATAGTAACCAAAGGAAAAGGGATATTTTCAATTACTTTTTATTATTTTAACAAGACGGGCAGTAAATGTGGATATTTCAGAGGAAGTGCTCATGTGGTCTTGGTCTTGATTCAGTCTCACCCTGCCTTGGTCTTGGTCTTGACTTGGCCTCAGTTTAGTCTTGACTACAACAGTACTGTGAAGAAAATGTATATTGTTTGGTGCTAGATAGATAAATTTAAAAATGATTTATTGATCTAGTCTGTGCTTTTTATTCTAGAAATACACTGCATAGAAAAGGTCTGGTTGCTAAATAAATAAATACACTTTTGAATGCAGATCCACGATGAGATGAGAAAATGTTTTAAGATTTTTGAGGGTAAAATAAAATAAACATTGCTTCATGTTATAAAACTGCTTTATAATTAAGAAAATATAACTAGGCCTATATAATATTATGCATAATAGGAGTTGTCACACCCACTGGAGACTCATCAAAATGGAATGTATGTGCTCAATGGAGCAAGTCTCGTTTAGAAAATAAGTTGCTATGGGAACCAAAAGTTTAAATTATCTTTTTATGCTTACCTGGGTCGCTTACCTGCTTACCAAGTTGCTTAACCTGCTACCCCCGTTCTCTTAAAACAAATGATGTTGTTTTATCATCTGTAAGGTTGTGGTTGAGGACTAGAGGACTTCTCACAATGTTATAGCTGAGACACAATTTTCTTTTTGTCTGGATTAAATAATTTTTCATAAATACATCAAAAATGCAATTAATGTATACACAAACTGTTTTTAAGATAATTTTTGAGTGTTAATGCTTTCACTTGATGGTTACAACAGGGTTCCCACGGGTCCTTGAAATCCTTGAAAGTTTGTTCTGTCAGTCTATATTTGACAGGGTTCCCATGGGTCTTTGAAATCCTGAAAAAAATCTGAACAATTCAAGGCCCTGGAAAGTTTTTGAAAATAAACGTACATAGATACAGGTCCTTGAAAGTGCTTGAATTTATTTTGTGCAAGAAGTTTTCTGGAAGAAAAATCCATATTATTCCCTCTGGTCCGCTAATGTGTTATTTCGCCAACACTTCGTGGCCGATGCATACTAGCTTGCTTGATTTACGGTAGTTACGCGCTACATTAAGTGTTTCCCGCGTGAGATACTTTGTGTTGTATATGGCAAGCCAAAAAAGTCAGAATTAAATTTATGCCGTTAAACAGGTGTTTTTTACCGTTTACGCACGTTTTTTTATGGCGTCTGCTATCAGGACGGCGTATTTGACAGTGCTAATGCTGTTTAAAAAACGCCGGAAAAAACTGCGTTTTGTATGTCAAGTCAAGTCACCTTTATTTATATAGCGCTTTTAACAATACAGATTGTGTCAAAGCAATTGTACAGCATTAATTAGGAAAATAGTGTCATTAATGCAAAATTACAATAGTAAACACTCAATTTTCAGTTAAAGGGAGTTCATCATTGAATTCATTGATGTCATCATCCAGCTCAGTTCAGTATAAATAGTATCTGTGCAATCAAGTCGACGATATCGCGTTTGCCATTAAATATTCTTTTTGATGTATCTATTTACACTGAAAAAAGCTGTTTTATGAGAGAAGTCAGGGACAATTTTGCGACAGGTAGAATTAGGTTTACGGCACTTCTCATTCATTTCTATGGTATTTGTAAACAGGGATTGACTGTCGTACATCTCGGACAGAAATTCAGTGACGTCAAGGCTGTAATGTGATTGGTTATCAAGGCACACATGATCCAAGTTGATGTTACCGTCTCTGGCCATAGTTCTTTCTTCTTTTGTTTAATGGCAATTTACAGTCTTATTGCATATCGCCACCTACTGCTACAGTTGTGCAATTATTTCATTTTAAAGACAACATGAAATCAAAATGGACAATTCTAGTTTTTTTTATATGGAGTATTGCGACATTTAGGCCTAATCTCTAGTTTTTTTTGTTTTGTTTTTCATGTGCCCTCAAAATCTTCGATCAAAAACATCTCCCTCTTGCAAAACAACACTTATTCTCCATAATCCCTTTCTTAAAAGCAACGTTGCAGATCGCAGCTAAACAACAATTATCCAACAAACCAATCAATTACCGACAAAATGAAGTCCCACCCTACATTTTTTCTCACTTGAGAAGTCCTTTCAAGTCGTTAAGGCAGTCGTGGCCTAATATATAGAGAGTCGGACTTGTAACCCGAAGCTCGCGGATTAATAACGAGCGCTCTCTTCCACCTTCAATACCACGACTGAGGTGAGACCCTTGAGCAAGGCACTGAACCCCCAACACAGCAATATGGCTGCCCACTGCTCCGGGTGTGTGTTCACGGTGTGTGTGTGTGTGTGTTCACTGCTGTGTGTGTGCACTTGGATGGGTTAAATGCAGAGCACTAATTCCGAGTATGGGTCACCATACTTGGCCACACGTCACTTCACTTCAGTCAGACATATGTCACTATAGGGAAGAAAAGTCGATTACAGTTTTTGTGTCATGTTAACTTTATTGCTCTATTTTGCCAACAAAAATAGTTCCAAACAAATTCGTATTGTTGTGCATTTCCCAGTAACACACACCTGTGGTTCGCTACTGAATGAATGAGCTACTTTGAACGAATCGGCTGAATAAATCAATCTGTGACTCACTCATTAATTGATTTGCTGCCACCTACGGGTGGTTTTAGTTTCATATTTAAAAGTAGCATTTTGTTTTTCCGTTATATTTCTATATTTAAAATGTTATGTTTTGTTGAATAAAGATAAGTTAATAGTAACCAAAGGAAAAGGGATATTTTCAATTACTTTTTATTATTTTAACAAGACGGGCAGTAAATGTGGATATTTCAGAGGAAGTGCTCATGTGGTCTTGGTCTTGATTCAGTCTCACCCTGCCTTGGTCTTGGTCTTGACTTGGCCTCAGTTTAGTCTTGACTACAACAGTACTGTGAAGAAAATGTATATTGTTTGGTGCTAGATAGATAAATTTAAAAATGATTTATTGATCTAGTCTGTGCTTTTTATTCTAGAAATACACTGCATAGAAAAGGTCTGGTTGCTAAATAAATAAATACACTTTTGAATGCAGATCCACGATGAGATGAGAAAATGTTTTAAGATTTTTGAGGGTAAAATAAAATAAACATTGCTTCATGTTATAAAACTGCTTTATAATTAAGAAAATATAACTAGGCCTATATAATATTATGCATAATAGGAGTTGTCACACCCACTGGAGACTCATCAAAATGGAATGTATGTGCTCAATGGAGCAAGTCTCGTTTAGAAAATAAGTTGCTATGGGAACCAAAAGTTTAAATTATCTTTTTATGCTTACCTGGGTCGCTTACCTGCTTACCAAGTTGCTTAACCTGCTACCCCCGTTCTCTTAAAACAAATGATGTTGTTTTATCATCTGTAAGGTTGTGGTTGAGGACTAGAGGACTTCTCACAATGTTATAGCTGAGACACAATTTTCTTTTTGTCTGGATTAAATAATTTTTCATAAATACATCAAAAATGCAATTAATGTATACACAAACTGTTTTTAAGATAATTTTTGAGTGTTAATGCTTTCACTTGATGGTTACAACAGGGTTCCCACGGGTCCTTGAAATCCTTGAAAGTTTGTGAATCTGAAAAAAAACAAATTCAAGGCCCTGGAAAGTTTTTGAAAATAAACGTACATAGATACAGGTCCTTGAAAGTGCTTGAATTTATTTTGTGCAAGAAGTTTTCTGGAAGAAAAATCCATATTATTCCCTCTGGTCCGCTAATGTGTTATTTCGCCAACACTTCGTGGCCGATGCATACTAGCTTGCTTGATTTACGGTAGTTACGCGCTACATTAAGTGTTTCCCGCGTGAGATACTTTGTGTTGTATATGGCAAGCCAAAAAAGTCAGAATTAAATTTATGCCGTTAAACAGGTGTTTTTTACCGTTTACGCACGTTTTTTTATGGCGTCTGCTATCAGGACGGCGTATTTGACAGTGCTAATGCTGTTTAAAAAACGCCGGAAAAAACTGCGTTTTGTATGTCAAGTCAAGTCACCTTTATTTATATAGCGCTTTTAACAATACAGATTGTGTCAAAGCAATTGTACAGCATTAATTAGGACAATAGTGTGTCAATAATGCAAAGTGACAATAGTAAACATTCATTTTTCAGTTAAAGGCAGTTCATCATTGAATTCAGTGATGTCATCATCCAGCTCAGTTCAGTTTAAATAGTCTCTGTGCAATCAAGTCAACGATATAGTGTATGTAAATGTAATATGTAAATGCGATTTATCTATAGCGTAATTCTGACTCTTGTGGCTTGCCATAGTTGTACGTTGCCATGACGTTCACGCGCGCACAAAACTACTACAATGGTACCTTAATGTTTCACAGACACACCGTGAAATTAATGTTGAATTGCTTTGCTTGTTAAGATAATGTTAACCCTTGAGGCAAGAAAAACTTAAAAGCATATTCATATATCTTAAAACTTCTGGTTACATGAGCCTAAGCTCTTTTCAATAAAATCCATGCAAAAGTTAACATCAGATCATTTTAGAATACAGTATAGGATGTACCAAATATTCTTCAGTTTTATGCAAAACAGAAATATGACAAATAGAATATCAGATCTCTGTCATATGGCCAAAAAAAAAAGCTTTTTTTTGCATAGTTGTGTTTGACACATGAAAACTGTACAAATGCATCTTACAAGGTTAACACGGTGTAACCTTGATCTCACTTGAAATGTGTCCCCACATTAAGTCCTTGAATTTGAGGGTATTGGACCTGGAAAATCCTTGAAAGTCCTTGAATTTTAAGTTAACCAAGGTGTGGGAACCCTGTTAAAACATATGATATTAGTGTGATTAAATGTAAACTTTTGTTGAAGATGGTACAAATGTTTCGAAATCATATGAAACCAATACGAAGACTACATTTGTAAGATCTTGACACAAGTGTTTTAAACCAGACGTTCTTCACGGTTTTAATCGTGAACGTTCTTCTATATTGTTGACCCAGGTGCTGAACTCGATGTATAATGTCTCGACGAGGACGTTCAAAAAAATCCAAAGCTCACACATTCACAGGACAGTGTGAGGGTCCAGGGGTCCATGTGTTTCTGTTCTGGACCAAAGAGGGAGAGCGCTGCCTGTCTTACAAGGAGGGTGAGGTGACTGCTGAAGATCTCACCATCTTCGCAGCAAAGGCTGTGGGTAGGTTTGGGTGTGGGTGCCAGTAAAAGCTTGAATTTTCTTTGCTCTCAGCCATCTAAAATGTTTTCTGCCTTCCTCAGGGATCACTCCAGTCTGCCATGCCTTGTTTGCTCTGTATGACCCGGCATCTTCATGTTGGTACAGTCCAAATCACAAATTTAATGCAGAAGACCAGTCTGGCCTTTTGTTGCATTTCCGTATGAGGTAAATATGAGATTGTGTGCACATGAAGAGATTTATGCAATATGCATACAGATATGTATTGTGTTTGTCTGCTTGAATGGTGTTAAACATCAATAAACTTTATTGTTTCTTAGATTTTACTTCCGAAACTGGCACGGATTAGGTGAAAAGGAACCGGTAGTGACACGTCATGCATTACGGACTGGAACAGGGGCAGAGCCGGTGACGTCTCCTTTGCTGGAGATGACCTCCCTGGAATACCTCTTTGCTCAGGTGATTTTTACAATCTCTAAAAATAACTGCGAGAGATATTACTGAAATGCTATAGCGTCACTGTTTTTGAGATATTTCTTTCTAGACTGAACAGCGATCTCTAGCGATCATGAAACACCTGCATTACTAAAACTAAATAATCTGTCCTTGTGAGGGTCTTATAATAATATTTCCTCCTAATGTTGGCATCCAAGATCATTTAGAATGTAGTTTGTAATGCTTTGCATTACTTTAGGACAGATTCATAAAACAAACCATGCACTAAAAGGTGCCAGATAATGTCAGGCTAAAATTAGTTGTTGTTGTCATTTTCTCATGAGGAAGAGTTACTCATTTTCTAAATGCATGTTATAGATCTAATTGTAAATGATTCATCCTTGTACATGGTACATTTAAAAATAATTGTAACCTTGTGATGTTTACTCAAAATATCAGAACTGGACCTTCCAGTGAAAATGACAGAAATCCTCTTAAAGGGGTCATATGATGCTGCTAAAAAGAACAGTATGTTGTGTAATGAAATGTGTTTATGCGGTTTAAGGTTAAAAAAAATACATTATTTTCCACATACTATACATTATTGTTTCTCCTCTATGCCCCGCCTTTCTGAAACGCGTCGATTTTTACAAAGCTCATCGGTTTGAAAAAGCGAGGTGTGCTGTGATTGGCCAGCTATCCAGTGCGTTGTGATTGGCCGAATACCTCAAGCGTGAGATGGAAATGTTACGCCCCTTGCCACATTGTGATGATGCCCTGTCAGGCCGGAGCGATGATTCAAAAACATGAAAACCCATTATAAACGAGGCATTCGTTGCATCCAGTGGGGACATAATTAACTTTACAGATCTTCTTTATGCACCAAGAGCTTGTAACACTCCAAAGAGAAAGAAAAAATTGAAATCGCATCATATAACCCCTTTAACATCCGATTTATAGAATCAAGTCCCCACCCTATATTTTGTTTTCTCTTTCAATAATATGTTACACTCGGGTGTGTCACATTTCATTACAACTTTAACAATAAACCTGAGCTTTGTGACATTGGCATCAGAAAGATATGCAGAGCTGCAGGTTCTACACACAGCCAGGGACAGCACAATGTTTGACAGACTTACCCTTTTCTTACTTTTATCTTTAGTGATGTTTTATCTTCTTCTGATGTTAAGGCATTACATTGCTTTACTGTAACTGGACAATAAGTACTGAAAATAATATTTTTGTGCACATTGTTTTTGTGTGCCACCATGTAAGTTTGACAGTAAAACTTTTTAGATTGCATATTGGATCTTTTGGTCTTTATTGAACATAATGTGGGATTTTTTTTCTTTTCACTTTTTCACACTTCACTTCAAGTTTTGAAAAAAAAAGTATAACAATAATAATGTAACAATAGTCTAAAAACTAAATGATGATAAATTCTATGATAAATTGTATTTTGCTACTTTTATGTACTAACTACTGTCCAAAGAATTCTTTAAATTGTCTAAGTCTTTTAAGTTGATTTTGTTGATTCTCTTACCAGGCTAAATATGATTTTGTGAATGACTTGACATGTTTGGATGCAGTGAGGGGAGAGGAAGAGATCAGTCGCTTTAAGAATGAATGCCTAGGTTTGGCTGTGCTTCACCTCTCTTACACAGCACTGCAGAGTGGCTCTTCTCTACAGGATGTGGCCAAGCAGACCAGGTGCGGGCTTCAGCTTTCTTTACTGTTCAGAGAAAGATTTGAAACAAAGCTGTTTAAAGAGGAAGTTAATTAAAAGATATGTTATTGAAGAATGTTATAATTTGTTATAATGTTATAATTTATAAAGCTGCTGTCTTTAAAGTCCTATCTTACAAAATGATTAACATAATTTTAGTAAGGTTTTTTTTTTCTGAACACAAAGTCACAGTTTAGTTAGTGACTTTTCCCACCCTCTCTCATATGCTACTGTGTCTTGTTGAATTCTAAGTGATTACTCTCATTGTATATGAAATACAATGTAAAATACATTGAATTATAGCGCTTTCCTGCAGTCACTAACAAGCGGAAGGTTTGTTGTGTCAAATGCAGTTTTTAACTGTGTCATCCTTCAAATGTGACCCTTGACCACAAAACCTCAAAACCTCTCAAGTCACTGGGGTATATTTGTAGCAATAGCCAAAAATACATTGTATGGGTCAAAATTATCTTTTTCTTTTATACCAAAAATCATTAGAATATTAAGTAAAGATCATGTTCCATGAAGATATTTTGTAAATTTCCTACTGTAAATATATCAAAACTTAATTTTTGATTAGTAATATGCATTGCTAAGAACTTAATTTGGACAACTTTAAAGGCGATTTTCTCAATATTTTGATTTTTTTGCACCGTCAGATTCCAGATTTTCAAATAGTTGTATCTCAGACAAATATTGTCCTATCCTAACAAAACAAACCATACATCAATGGAAA